GAAAATAAATAAATAGTAAATTATTAAAGAAAGAAATTATCCTTTTTATTTAAAAAAAATAAATATTTTGGAGTTCTGAAAAAAGGATAGATTTAAATTTTAAATGGCTAATAAAAAGTTGCTTTATTTTTTATATCTCCTTGTCAATACTTTCCTAATCCCAACTTTTCTTTATTTATACTAAATTAACCTTCTTTATGTAGTTACAATCTTTTTTTATTAATTATAAGTTTCCAAATTAATTTTTTAAATTCTATATTTAGTTTAATAAAAATATTTTATTTGGCTTATTTTAATAATAATATATTTATTTTTAAATTAATTTACAAAAATATAATTACTAATCAGTTACTCACTTTTTATTATTATACATCTGTTCCTTTCTCACAAAAAATGTTTTTTTGGAAACGTATACATAGTATATAATTTTTGCATCCGTCTTTCCCCTCTATTTAAAACAAACGTCCAAACGCTTACGCAAAAATAACTGGCGGCTTTTTTAAAACTATTTTTGGAAATATTTCAACAAAAAATTATAAATGTATATTTTCTATTTTTGGCTTTCTACCAAAAAAATTTCTTGCCAAAAAAATTTTAAAAGATTGGAAAAGTACAAAAAAATCACGAGTAAAACAAAAATCGTGATGTACCTCTAAAAAGCTGAAAATTTTATTTGAAATATTTTTTTAGTATTTCCGTTATTTATTAAAAGAAATTTAGACATTTTTTTGTTTTTAAAAAATATTTTAAATTAATTAAATATATTTCTTTTGTAATTACAAAAATCAACATTTTATTAGTCCAAAAATTAATTTTTAAAAATAAAATTAAACAATTATAAGCACTTTTATTTGTGTTTTATTTAATAAAAAAATAATTATTTTGTCTGGTTCCGCTTAATATATTAAAATATTTTTTGTCGGAAATAGAGAAAAGTACAAATTAATACAAGTACACATTTACTTTTATTTAATATTTCCTCAAAATTTAAAGGGAGAGAGAGAAAAAGCTTTATATAAGTACAAATAAATTAAAAAGAAAAGATCGAAGCACATATTTTTAATTGATGAAAGAAATAATTATTTATTTATTTTTATTTTTTAAAAGTACATATAAATGCGCGGAAAGTGCAATTTATTTATTTAATAATTAATAGTATTTCCTCCCCAAAAATAAAGAGAAGCATGTGAGTAGACAAAAAGGAAATACGTAAATTGCTTAAACTTATAATGAAAAAAAAAGAAGATTAAATTGTTTTTATGTTAAAAAATTTAAAAAATCAGGGGGAGGGAGGGGGATATTTAAGAAATTTGAAATAAACGAAGATGATAAAACACAGAATTTTTCTAACTTTTCAAAATTTCTTAAAGTTTTCAAAATTTCCAGTTCTCGGAAATGAAAGAAAATTTTTTAAAAAATTCTATATTTAATTTAAAAAGGTAGATTGCTATTTAAATTTCAGACAAAAATTATAGTTAATATAAAGTTAGAAGGTCAAAAAAATATTTATAGAATTGTCTCTCGAGCTTTTCTAATTGTAATTGAATTTGTTTGAATAAAGTTGTGTAACTTGTATTCTTTTGTTTTATTTTAGATAAAGAGTTGAACTTAGAACTTAGAGTTTGATTTAAGTTTTCTAAGTTTAAAGTTCATTGACTAAGAGTTCTTTGTGTTTCTATTTGAGTTAAATTTGAGTTTTCTAGAGATTTCTAGAATTTAATTTATAAAGTCTAGATTTTATAAAAAGATTTAAATAAAGTATATTATTTGTAAAACATTGTGAATAGAAATTGAGTTAAGATATCTTCTCCTAAAAGAATTCTTTATTTTTATAAAGTTTGTGAAACTAATTTGTTTACTCGAAAAGAACTCTCTTTATTTAGCAAAATATTAAATATTTGTATTAATATTTTTTATTTTGCGACAGGAGTAGGAAACAATCATGATTCATCACCTTTGAGCAAAGACGCGAATTCATCAGTTAATTCCCTTGCCACAGTAGATAAAATACCGAATAAACCAATAAAGGAAGAGTTCAAGCAAAATATAGAAAATAAAGTTGGGAAAGAAGAAATCCATAAAAAAATTTCGAGCTGGGAAGGGATAGCCCCAAAAATTTCCCGTATGATGTTTTATCTAACAATAATGCTAATATTAGTCACCCCCATTAATGGTTCGAAAAATCTTATTCCAATACCACGACAACCAATTATTTGTTAAACCCAGCTCCATGGGGTAATTTGGTCATTGCCTTCACCCATTGGTTGCCAGATACTAAGATAGATTACTCGAAAACCCCCGACGCACTTTACGTACAAAATGTGCCCATACAGAGTTATCATTTGCAGGTGGTTCTGGAGGAATATGAGCCCAAATTAAATTTTCTACATTTTCTGGGGTAGCAGGAATGTCTGTGCAATATACTCTATGTAAATGAGGACCACCAATTCTTTTTTGAAACTCTCGACTTTCACCAAAACCTAAAATATTACCAAATATATGCTTCTTTTCTAATAAATTATGGAGTTTTCTAAGCTTATCTTCATAAATACGGCAAATAATATCGAACCTATCAACAATTTTCTGATTAGCACGTAATAAGTTTCTTTTTATTTCAGGCCATCTGGGATTGCAAGTAAAAGTAAACATAAAGGAACAAAACCCTGTTTTACGAGTTCGGGCCATTATCGTAGTTGCATTGTAAAACATGTTTTGAAAATAGGGACGTGTCCCTGGGTGATATTTCCTAAATGCAACAATATGTCCAAGATCATCGACAGATTTAGCACCGCTATCTCTTTGCAACCACCTAAGAGCATCTGGCGGATATGTACCACGTAAATCCATATCATCTCTTCTTAAATAATTAGCTACATCAGAATCCACTCTAGCATTGTAGTCTAACGTATATTTCTGACTTAATCCACCACCCGAACTCCAAATATTATGATAACTTTCATTTTTACGAACTGCAAGACGATATTTAACATAATCTCGAACAGAAATGTGCTTTTTATCGGAATCCTCTTCAATTTCACTATCTGACGACGTTTCATTTATAGTTAAATTATTTTTATTCACAGGTATTTTTGAATGATACCCATCATCCCCACAAGGAAAAAGTATTGGATAACATAATGTATCTGTTAAAGGATGATTTGGCCCAAAAGTAAACAAATGCCCTTCTAGATCAGTAATATAAATACCCTTAACCTCTGGCAATTCATCAGCTTCAGTACAAATAGAAAATAATGTCTCTTCAGTAGGGAGATTAACTTGTCTAGGGTGGGCAGAAGGATCACGAACAATAACAGGCGCAGCCCTTTCTTCTAATAATACAAGTCTATAATACTTAACAGAATCAAGACCATCAGATTGTAATTTATCCAAGTATTGAGTATGGAAATTTTTATAAATAGATGCCAAAGGATGGGTTTGACGCAAAAATGTATCTAAATTTCTAAGTGTTTCTTGGTCTACTCTATCGCCACCATAAGAAACATTATTAACCCTATTTTCAAAGGCTGTATTTGCATCCAAAATATATAATTGTGAAAAAGAAGGGCCATTATTACCAGGCGTGATCGAGCTGAGTTTACGAACAAACTCTCCGTTAAGCAAATAGCAAATTCCCCCCTCAAGATTTGACTCTCTATGGCCGACATAAACTGATGCGAACGCTAATAATGTGTTATAAATATTTTGGTGTTGCAAAAATTCTAAAGATTCTTGAGAATCACCTTCGGACAAATCTAACAACAGTTGTGGATGTGGACTAAAAGCTGGAAGCTGAACAACACCGCATCTACAACAATATGAAGAAGTAATTCTTTTATATTTTTGCTTAAAAGTCTCATTAACCTCGGACTTTAACAATAAAGCATTACAAAAACAACAAACTTCGTCACCAAAATTGCCAGAATCATAATAAGGCTCAAAATGCATCGACCTAACATCAGCGCAAGGAAATAGTTTATGTTTTCTACGGCAAGTTGACGAAATTTTATAAAAAATATTATCATTATTCACAATTTCAGGAATTTCAGAAACAGAAGTATCATTTTTAGCTGCAATTCTGGAAGATCTCCTTAATGGGGGGTCAGGCTCTAAATCCAATACAGGATAATCATTAACAACGCAATTATCTAAAATATTATCACCAAAATCTAAATTAAAATTAAAAACATTCTCATTCACTTGTGCATTTAAAGGATTATAATCAAAAATCCCAACATAATCAATATCATTCGAAAGAATTAATTGCGAAAGGTGCCACAAAATACGCTTCCTCTCATATTGAATATTTAAGTTAGGAATTATTAACGATTTATTATTAAACAAAAACAATTCCGAATACAGACAAACATAAAACCCGCAATTAATCCCATCTCTTTGTTCAGTAAACATGGAACGCGGTAAAATTTGAATATTAATATTTTCAACGAAAAGACCAGGTGTTAAATCACAAATACACCTTTTAATTAAATCAACACGCCTTTGATCAAAAACACCGGAAGAAACATCGGTTAAACGATTAACAGAAGGCAAGGAGTCAACAAAAATGCAAGAAAAATGATCACGATCTGAACGGTCGAATATTACCAAACCAAAATGACCAGGAAAAATAATTGGAATCAATAAAATATCATAATTCTGATTATAATTATAACAATAATCAAAAATATTAAGAGGATCAACACCCTGCCCAAAATGGTAATCAACAACATTAAATTGAGGTGAAACAACAATAACATTTAAATTAGAACGATACGATAAAAATTTTAAATAAATAAAAACAAAACTATCTTGCAACCACACATTAGGATCTGACCATAAACTAATAATTTCTGGCCTTGAAAAAACTATATCATCAGTAAAGATTCTATTTTCAATATTAGGCATTGGACCAAAAGGTATATCTAACAAATCAATATTCAAAAATACAGGACCCATGGGAATATCTAACGATCGACTTGACATTATATTGGACATAGCACCATCTAAACCAAACATAAAATTTGTGTTAACTTCCCTAGCATTATTATTAACAACAGAATTTTTTTTTGGTCTACCAGGCCCACCTTTTCGCTTTTTTGGTCTACCTCCTTTTGATTTTTCATAAGATAAATCACTACATAATGAAAGACTCTGGGAAGCAACAGATAAACTATCAAAATCTGCAACGAAACTCAAATTACAATTATCACCAACAGATAACCCATCACCTAAAGAACTCACATCTAACACATCATTCACTAAAGAACTTTCCATCACCGAATTTCCACCACTAAAACCATCAACCAAAGAACTCTCAACTAAAGAACCATCAACCAATGAACTCTCAAACAAAACATTTTCAGAATGTAATTCACCACCATCAACCACTGAAACTCTATCTAAATTACCATCACCAAAAGTAACCCCGGGTGAATTAACATTCAATAATCTACCATCAACGGAAACCCCATCAACCTCGCAACTATTAGTTGCACTACTACCAAACTCACCTTCAGCCGAATGACGCTGTCGTCGTTTCCTCCGGTTGATTCTATCTTTTGAAGGCATTTAAAATAAAGTAAATAATAAATTATCTAAAATATCTGAAAAATAAAACATTAATAAGGCTTAATTGTGAAAAAACGTAAAATTGAAGTGAAAAGGAAAAAACGCGAAATTCTATTCTACATTACTACAAAGTACATAAAATGAAAAAACAATATACCAAACGCGAGAACAAATTTTAAAAAAAAATAAAAAGGGAAGTGGAAGAAAAATTACAATAATAAAAACAAAGCAATAATTAAAAAAGCAAATAAAAAATATAACAAAAGTAGAGTTGCCCACCATGTTGAACATGGCTTTCACTCTACGACCAAAAAATGTGAAAAAAGGGTACTGGTGTCCCAACCATTAACAGCTGGTCAGGCTGAGAACAGTTGGGAAGTCCGCCAGCAGACTATTTTTTCTGGTGCACCAAGCCCACCAGAGGCCATTTTTAGTTTGGGGACAGATGTGTGGCATCCCCATCTGTAAAGGATATTTTTCACGTGGTGTGTAATTGGCCCACCACGCAAAGCCATTTTTAAAGGCTGAGTCGTACTGCAACGTTAGTGCAGCCGTCTCTCAGGGGTCAATAATGAAATTTAAATTTTGAAAAAAATATCGAAAAATATCGAAAATATTTAAATTTTTAAAGAATTTAAATTTTTATTTTTGAAAAATAAAAAATTTTTCCGAAAAAGCCGAAAATTAAAAAAATAAAAATATTACGAAACCAAAAGCAAGCCACCAAAAATTGATTCAAAAGAAATAGCAAGCACAGATAACTAAAATAAAAATTGAAAAAAAATGAAAATTTTTAAAAATTTCTAAGTTTTTTGAATTTTAAAAAATTTTGGCATGACTCCTCGGCACAGTGAAGCATCAATACAAGGAGTTATTCTTCCCCCAAGTATTGGTGCTCCACGTTCTCATCCCATCCCGTGGGCCTTCAAGGCGAGGACCCGAAACCTTATTATACAGGTTTTTCCACGGAATGGGGCACAAAGGAGAACTTGCATGCCTCTCTGTGTTTCTAGTGCAGAAGAGGTCATGCATAGTCCCCTTTTTGTGCGGAGGGAAGCACACCCTGCACAGACGGAAAAAACAAAATGAAAAATTAAAATTTTAGATATGAAATTTCAAAAATATTTATCAAAATTTTTTTGGAAAAATGTTTTGCTATTTAAAGTTTTTCCCCAGAAAAATTCCGAAAATGTTTAAAATTTTCCCAAAAAAATATTTTTCAGTTAAAGTTTAGTTAAAAAACATTTAAAATTTTTTAACAATAAACTCACTCAAAACAAAGACCACCCACCAAGCATATTGAACATAAGCGAGCAGTAAGTTGAGAGACCCTAAAAATAAAAAAAATTGAAAAAAATTTTTAAGTTTTTTTAATTTAAAAAAAATTTTGGCATGACCCCTCCGCACAAGTGAGGCATCAAGACGCGTATTTGTTCTCCCCCGCGTCTTGGTGCCCCACACTCTCCCCATACGGGGGTACAAGATCTCCTTCCCCCGACAGGGAAGGAAACCGGATTGGGGAATAAAAAGATTTTAAAAAAGTAAAACTCACAAATAAGACCAACCACCAAACATATTGGATGACGGCAGCAGGCGTTGAGAAACCCTAAAAATAAAAAAAATTGAAAAAAATTTTTAAGTTTTTTTAATTTAAAAAAAATTTTGACATGACCCCTCCGCACAAGTGAGGCATCAAGACGCGTATTTGTTCTCCCCCGCGTCTTGGTGCCCCACACTCTCCCCATACGGGGGTACAAGATCTCCTTCCCCCGACAGGGAAGGAAACCGGATTGGGGAATAAAAAGATTTTAAAAAAGTAAAACTCACAAATAAGACCAACCACCAAACATATTGGATGACGGCAGCAGGCGTTGAGAAACCCTAAAAATAAAAAAAAATTGAAAAAAATTTTTAAGTTTTTTTAATTTAAAAAAAATTTTGGCATGACCCCTCCGCACAAGTGAGGCATCAAGACGCGTATTTGTTCTCCCCCGCGTCTTGGTGCCCCACACTCTCCCCATACGGGGGTACAAGATCTCCTTCCCCCGACAGGGAAGGAAACCGGATTGGGGAATAAAAAGATTTTAAAAAAGTAAAACTCACAAATAAGACCAACCACCAAACATATTGAATGACGGCAGCAGGCGTTGAGAAACCTTAAAAATAAAAAAATTGTAAAAAATTTTTAAGTTAATTTAAATTTAAAAAAAAATTTGGGCATGACCCGTCCGCACAGTGTTTGTACGGCCCCACTGTGCAGAAGGAAGGGGGAGCCTTCCCATACCCCCAAAAGGGGAAACGGGCATGACCCAATCCCCGATCATGCCGGCTCCGCCCATTTCTGGGAAAAAACCGGCATGACCCCTCCACACAGTGGTCATACAAATTCGCTACCCACATCCGTGGGATTTTATTCTTTCAAAAAATTTTGTTTTTTTGAAAAAAAATTATAAATTAGTGAAAAAAATTTTGTTTTTAAAAAAAAATATAAATTATAAACAAACCATAATGGTTTGTTTGAAGAGATGTGTTGGTGTTGAGTTGATGTTGAATGAACAAATAAAAATATTTGAAGAAATGATGTTGTTGTTGATGAAAAAATAAAATTAATTGCAATTTGTTGTTGTTGTCGAAAAAATTTCAATTTTTGAAAAATAGAAAAATTATGTTGATGTTGAATGAAAATAATTTTTTAAATTAAAATATTTTAATTTTTGAGGCTAAAAATAAAAAAAATATAAAAGTTTAATTAAAAATTAATTTTGGGGTATTTGGAAAAAAAACGACCGTTTCAGTGCCACACTCAAGTGTGGCACCAAAACGACCATGCTAGCTGAATTCCTCAAGGTCGATTACCTATATCCCCAAGTGTAAACCCAAACGGATAAAAAGTTCCCGAAGTAGGACGTTTCAGTGCCACACTCAAGTGTGGCACCAAAATGACTATGCCCATTGGATTCCCCAAGACCGACTACCTATTATACTAAATTGCAGCTAAAAAGACCCAGCGGTTCCCATTTAAATGAAATTTAAATTTTAGGGGGATTTTTAAAAGATAAAAAAATAAAAAATTTGAAGAAATAAAAGCTTCAGCCCTTTTTTCGACAAAAGGGTACATGGAAAAATGGTCAAAATCGAAAAAAGACCAAACGGGGCAAAAACTCAGTGGGATTATAGGTAATCGGCCATGGGGAATTCAATGGGCATGGTTATTTTGGTGCCACACTCAATTGTGGCACTGAAACGTCCAAATGAAAAATTCAACTGCTCATTGCGGTTTTTTGGAGGCCTGGGGTTTTTCGCGTCTGGGAGTGATCTTGTAGGGCAGGGTGGGGGGAAGATTTGAGTAGTTGACTATTGGAGTCTGCGATCGACTTTTGCGGGTCATGTGAGTCTGAGAGAACCGCCCACCCCCAAAATTTCGACCTTTTGTAACTTAGTAAAAAATGGTCAGAAAATTTAACAAAAAATATTTTTATACTCAGCTCGATGAGAGCTTTCGAATGATATAACATTTGCCCAATTTATTCCCATTTTGAAAAAAAAATTTTTTGGCTGAAAATTTCTACCGAAAAAATCGCCTAATTTTTTAAAAATTCATATCTTTTTCAAAACTGACCTTTTTTAAACATTTTAATATTCTATCCTATGCAGAAAAATCTGCTCTATCCAGTAAAAATACTTTCGGGCCGAACCGCCAGCAAAAATCCCGAAAAAATTTCGAAAAACCGAAAATTTTTCGAATTTTCGAAATTCGACCCCCTCAGGCCCAATTTCGAATTTTTTCGAAATTTTCTTCACTAAAAAAATACCTAATTTTTTATACTATTTTATAAAGCAAACCCCATCCAGATCCCATTATCCCAAAAAAAGTTATGGCTACCTAAAAATTCCCGAAAATCCCCCAAAAGGGGTGTACCCCTTTGGAAATAAGGGGTGGGACAAAATTTTCGAATTTTGACCCGAAATTCGACTTATATGGTGCTTTGACATGTGCTGAGTACGAATCCGGCGTCAGAAAAATTTTAAAAAATTTCCTTGGGACGTTAGAGTCTCAAAAAGATTCGCGACATTTTGCCACATTGGCTATAACTTTTTGTGACTCAAGTGGACCCCCAACATATTATACCTTTTTCGGAGCCCCAGGGAACGCTCTTTCGAATGGGGTATCGAAGAGACCCGAAACGACCTTTGAAAAAAAGTCGACTTTTCGACTGTGACACTTTGACCCATTTCACCCCCAAAAGTTCACCCGAGACTCAAATGTCCAACACCCAATAACTTCCCAATATCCACCCCTACAATACCACTTCCAGGCCCAAGAACCCCCCACTTCTCAAAAACGCGTTATAACGCGTTGAATTTTTGAACCGGCCATTTAGGTGCCACACTCAAGTTCGGCACCAAAACGACCAATCCCAAAAAATTTCACATGGCCACTTACCTATAACCCCCCAGGTCCCATCTTAATCCTCCCAGCCGTTCCCGAGATACTGCAAAAGTACAAAAGACCGCTACCCTATGGCGCGACATTTTGCCAAGACCCGTTTGGTTTTGCCAAGGCATAAGTCCCCAGGAGTTCATCCGATTTTCAAAATTTTTTTTTTATATTAATGCCCTAATAGAGGCGCAGTGCCCTCCCAGCAGACTTTTTCCGCTCCGACTTTTAGTTCACGAGATAGCCAAACTCATGGGGTCGTTTCGGCGCAAAGGAAAAGTCATGGCGCCACGGCTATAGTTTTCCTGAATGCGCCTCAAAAAGTTGTAGGACCCTTCCACAACTTTCAGGGAGCGGCCGGCCTTCGGCCGGCCGATTTTGTTTTTTAAACGCGAGATGCAAGATTATTATAATATAATATGTTGTTCAGCTTCCAGCTTTTAGTCCACATCCACAACTGTTGTTAGATTTGTCCGAAGGTGATTCTCAAGAATCTTTAGAATTTTTGCAACACCAAAATATTTATAACACTTTATTAGAGTTCGCATCAGTTTATGTCGGCCATAGAGAGTCAAATCTTGAGGGGGGAATTTGCTATTTGCTTAACGGAGAGTTTGTTCGTAAACTCAGCTCGATCACGCCTGGTAATAATGGCCCTTCTTTTTCACAATTATATATTTTGGATGCAAATACAGCCTTTGAAAATAGGGTTAATAATGTTTCTTATGGTGGCGATAGAGTAGACCAAGAAACACTTAGAAATTTAGATACATTTTTGCGTCAAACCCATCCTTTGGCATCTATTTATAAAAATTTCCATACTCAATACTTGGATAAATTACAATCTGATGG